AGATATTTTTTTTAAAAAAAAATGATTGGGGGGGGGGGGGGGGTAGAGGTGGTGTAAAAAAGAAATTTGAAAAATATTAATGTTTTTTTTTTAAAAGGTGGCTAGGGGGTGGATCGGGGTTGGGCGGGGGACATAAATAATGAAATCTTTAAAATTTGAAATATTTTTCAAAAATAAATTTTAACGTAGTCATCAAAGTACAGAGGAAACGAGTTATGAATGATTTTAAAAGCATATTTAACGTAAAGTAATAACCATCTCTTAAATCATATTTGATATTTTTAAAGAGTTCGAATACATGGTCTTTAAGAAAATTAAAATAATAAACATGTTCAATGAATTTGACACACACCATGAAAATATCTTTTGAGAATTACAGTTCTATAGTAAACTTATTTTGTTGTGCTCACTTGATACAATATTATATCCAACATCTATAACGACTCATAGGCATAGTATATAGATATGCGGAAATTTTCACGGTAGAGGAATAAAAAATGCATAAAAGATTATGTGTTATTCAAGATTTACATAAAACATGAACAATACTCTATAATTCAGTCGGAGAAAACGTAATTTGCTTCAGATTATACTTAGAAAAATGAAACAGCTTTGACTGTGTTTTTTATATGAACGTCCTTGAAAAGTGAAATGGGAAAGAGGAACTTTCAAGGTTTGCACGAAAATGGTGAGAGAAGCACTTGTTAATGGTGAAAAAATTTGAAGACTTTGCTTGAAGAGGAAAGAGAGATGGGAACGATGCAATACAAGAGAAAACCTAGCTTCAAAGTACATATTAGGTTTATTTTTGGTTGGATGAACTTTGGGCGGTTAATTGGGTTACATTTTGAACAAATTTGATATTGAAAATGGGCTGAACATATAGTCTAATTTGGGGTTCATTTTGAACGAATTTTCAAGGCATTTTTCCTTCTTAATTTTTTTGGGGCTTTCTCACCTTAATAATTTAATAGCAAATTATATAAATCTCACTAGTTCAGGTCTTAATTACTAAGGTTCATGGTAGTTTCGAATATTACTTTCTGTGTTATATTTCATCCTTTTGATACATGTATCATTACTTGCCATATACATGTATCTAATAGTTTTAAAAATCGAGATACATGTTTTATTTGTTTGAATTCAATAGTTGTAACTGATTTCGTTAATTAAAGGAGTAATTGAAGATTTTCAGAATATATGAATAATTGATTCTGGAAATTTTTAAATTAATCAAATCCCTTAACATAAGGCAGAATTAAGGAGTGCATCTATGTTTAATTAATTTCATTTATTACTCTTTGAAATAACAAGTTCATTAATAGTATTAATAAAAGACAAAAACATGTATATCTTGGTTATGTAATTTGATTAACTTCATTTTATTACTCTTAAAATAATAAATTCATTAATTTGATGCATCTATTATCAATATATGATATATCCAACAAACTAAACACTCATATATATGAGTGTACGGTTGCACATATATATATTTATATGTATCGTAAACACGTACTAACCTCTTAGATACAAAAAAATAATAATTAAATGAACTTTGATAAGATGGACACAAATGTAATCAGGCGTATCATAAAGACATAGTAATCTTTTATTCCATATTAACAAGTAGACTATGATACATGGGTGCACAAGTACATTCATATGTATCATATAATTCTAGTATTAATTTCATATTTTTATTATATGTATCTAATATTAATTTTATGTATCTATTTATATATCTAGTATTAATTTTATGCATCTATTTATATGTTTCTATTATCAATTTGATGTATCAATTTCATAGGTTATCTCAAAAAAACATGTATCTTTGATACATGGGTAAGCAAATACATCTAATTATGTGTATCTAAATATGGAATGTAACTGAAACACAAGAATTAAGGAACAAATCACGACCGTACAGTATCTGTCATTATCATTAATCCAAAAAAGTTTTTTTTAAAAATTCTTCCATTTTTTTAGCATCTAATTTTTTTCCTCATAAACACATATAATCTTATCTCAGATACATGAACTATTAACTAGATACATGTGTATGTTTTGTTAGACACATGTACACTTAATACCCTTCGTATCTCTCTCCTCTTCAACAGAGACCAGCGTCACCTCCGTTGCTCGTTTCCTCGCCATCATGAAATCGTCGTCTCCGACAAAAATTTCACCGAACTAGTTCTTCGTTGTGCTCTTCTCCTCACCATGAAAAATAATGAAACAAAACAGTAACAAACTTCTACATATAATGTTGATGAGCAAGAATCAATTTTATGATATTTGAACATGATAATGTGTAATGAGACAATCAAGGAAGGGAGAGAAATGGTGGAGGTGGTGGAGGACGCGGGGGAGTAGAAATTGTTGGAGTGGGGGATTGGCAGAGGGAAACGGTTGATGAGAGAGAGAAATTATTAATTATAATTGGACCATTAATTTTGATGTTTAAATATAAAGATAATTAATCAATCATAGTTTTAAGGAATTTGTGTATCTAATTGTATCTTTTAAAATATATGGTATAAAATATTAAAAGTAATAATATATATAATTGTTTAAAAGTAGAGTTAATGTTAGTATATATGGTAGTAAATATTTATACACTAGAAATATACATATAACATATTTTTGAAGTAATAATTCTAATAATGAAATTAATGATAATCATTGTAATTAAAATCAATGACGATAACAATATTAATTATACTAAGATAATAATGAAATGTAGTAACAATGATGATTATTACAACTATACTAATAATATCAATAATAAGAGTAAAGAATGAAAAAGAGCAGTACAATATAGTAAAAATAATAATTAAAAAACTATAATAATAGTTAAAAGTAGATTATTAATAATTAGAAAACATTAAAAAAAAATTTAGAGAAAAGGTTGAACAAAATTGAGTGTCAACAATTGACATTAATAAGATAGCTAGAAGTATATAGATTCGTCTCTTTAAAGTACAATTTTTCACAACAAGATATCCAGTGAAATTCACAAGTGAGGTCTGAGGATGATAAAATATATGTAGACCTTACCATTACCTCGTAGAGATAAAGAGATTGTTTTTCAACAAATCTAGATACAAAGAAAAATGAGACCATGAATAGAATATAGCAAGTAACAAAGTAACAAATAGAAGCTACCGGAAAGGAGTCGAAAACAATAATAAAATAATGTAATAATTGAAAAACAATAAACAACATACGAGGATAAATTATTAAAAAACAATAATAAACATTGATAAAAAAATTAAAAATCAAGAACTACAATAAAATAACTAGTACCATGACAAACACAATCATCTTAAGCAAGAGAACACTACTGACTACACTACCTACAACCTTTTACTCTAATACGTGTCCTACGCACCCTCTTATCGAAGGTCATGTCCTCAGTAGCTTGAAATTACGTCATATCTTGTCTTATCACCTCTACCCATTACTTCTTTATACATCTACCTCTCCTCGTACCCTTTATAACCAACCTTTCGCGCCTACTCACTGGTGCATCTATGCACCTCCTCTTTACATGTCCAGACATCCCAGTCTTACTTCCCTCGTCTTGTACATCATAGAGGTCATTTCCACCTTATTTTGATTCCCTTGTTTCTAATCTTATTGCTTCTAGTATGATCGCACATCCACCTTAACATCCTAATCTCCGCAAAATATATTTTTCAAATATGGGAGTTTTTACCGGTCAACACTCCGTTTGATACAACAATATCGGTCTAACCACCATTTTATAAAACTTAACTTTAAGTTTTGATGGTACAATTTTCCACAAGTCATTCACAATATCTTTTTAGTGGTTCTATTTAGATAAATAGTCTTGTTATTTCTTAATCTCATATTCATTATTCACAACGTTGCTTTTGCAAAAAAATATTTTATGAAATCCGTTAATATGTACAAATATAAACAAGAAAAAGGAATTTTTTTATCGGTTAAATAAAAAATCGAATCATTAAGAATCGCTAACCAAAAATCAATAACAACTACTCACTCCGTTTCTATTTATATGTCGTCCTTACTAAAAATAAATGATCTTAATACTCAGTTGTCATTTCACAAAACCAATACATAAATAACATTATTCTTCCTATTTTATCCTTGAAAGTTATTAGTCTTGAAAGTATGAGTTTGACTAACATAGAAAACTAAACAATCAATTCATATTTATTGGTCAATTTAATTAATTAATCAAAAATCAAAATAAATTAATTTATGTTCATTTATTGATTATTGACTTTAAGAGAAACTAAATAAAGATACAATAATAAACTTACCTAATTTCTTAAAGAACGTGATATGAAAACGAAAAAAAATACATTTTTATTAATTTAATTATCGATTTAACAAATATAACCATCAAATGACCGGTGAACATAGTCACCCTTACGTCTTCCACCCAATCCCGATTTAAAGATGATTTTTTCAAGCAAACTCTAAATTTACTTTCCCTAGGTAGTAAACAAATCCAATTCTTTTCGGATCAATGGTCTATACCCTACCAAAAAAAATGATTAAGCTACTCTGTAAAACTGTAACCTACCAAATATGATTAGACTCTATTACCACTAATTCAATTTTTATTGTTAATTTTCTTTTTTTTACAGCTGTAAAAACATTAAATGCTCCTTAATTAATAATGTAAACAAAAGAACATAAGCCAATCCCCTTTTTTCTTGTTCCCGTTTCAGTATTTAACTCTGCTTTTAAAAATTGAAAAAAAATTAAATTCCCTCTCTTTTGTCTTCCTTACCAAAACCAAAAACACCACCCACTCTCTCTTTTTCGCCTGTGTCACGCAAGGGTCCTTTTGATCAGTCTCTGTTTTTACAGTTTCAAGAATTCAAAGGTCTTTATTCAGGTGAGTGAGTATTTGTGTGATTCTTTTTGTTGTGATTGTGAAGAATATGTAAATGTGCTTGAGCATTTTGATTAAGAAAATTGTGTATTTTTGACTTTAGTAGATGGATTCAGGGGATGGGTCCTCTGTTCCAAGGAGGAGGACTAGACAACAGTTTTTAAAATATTGTGTCGAGTTTATTGAGAAGAGAAACAAGTTGAATAAAAATGGTAATACTACTCACTCTTCTACTATTTGTTGTGTGGATATTGGAGAGGATGATCATGTGAGTTGTGGGAGGAAAAAAAGAATAAAGGTGGAAGAAAAAAACACATCTTGTGGTGGAGGTGATGCAAGTATGGTGAGAAGTTTGGAAAAAGGAAAAAAGAAGGTGGACAGTGCTAAAAAGAAGTTCAGTCCAGGAACTTGTGAGTCCGTCATGAAAAGGCCTTTCATCCAGGAAATATCTGATTCTGACTCTGATGACGATGACAATGATGTTGAAGATGATTCGGAGAAGGAGGAGAGTGATCCTGATCCTGATCCTGATGTTGTTTTTATTGGGGATGTTGCTGCAGACTCTATTGTAAATAGTGGATCACGTTCAGGATCTTGGTCCAATGTGGGCTCTGTTGGGTTAAGGAGTGGTACGTTGAATGAAGCAGATGATGTTATTTCATCTACCTCGAGCATGTGTAGGACTAGTGAGCGGCGTAAATCAGAGGAGCACATTGATATTGAGAAATCAGATGACTTTGTTGATCCTTTGAAATCACAACAAAAGTTTACTGATACAACAGATTCTTCTGAGTCAGAATCTGAAGCTTCAAGTGATGAGGATAATGATCACCCCGAAGACAAGGATTACCGGGTGCATGAATCATCAACATCAAGTTCTAGTCAATCAGATGATATAAGAAGTGATTGTGATGATGACTATGATGGAGGAAAGGAATCAGAAAAAGATTATCTGACTACTCCTACAAAGAATCAAAACAATGAAGAAGGAAAAGGATTTGATGATATCAGAAGTGGTTCTGGTGATGACTATGATGAAAGTAAAGAATCAGAAGATGATGATGATCTTGATCTGAATTGTCTTGCAGAACAGAACAATGAAAAAGGAAAAGGATCTGATTATATCAGAATGAAATCAGAAGATGATGATTTGAGCTGTTCTACAAATAAAAAATCCAAGGAAGAAGGAAATAAGGAGTCAAATGGGAGGCTAGTACAAAAGCACAGAGGTCGAGCATATCTTCTTCGGCCACACTCACTATCCAAGTCCAAAAAGAAATTGTTAAACCATGGAAGTTGTAGTAGACCGGTTCTTCTTAGTGACGACGAAGGGTCTAAATCCTCGTCCTCTGAAGAGGGTTGTGAGGCTGGTGAGTCGGTGGAAAATGCTGTTGTTCAAAAGGAACAAAAGGATGTTGTTCAAAAGGATAGAAAAATTCGGAAGAAGATTCTTAAAGATTCTGAATTTCTGAGGTTCGTTGTTGATTCTATAATAAATGGCGATGATCATGATAAAATTACTTCTCCTGAAGAGAAGCGACAGGTTCCTGTCAAAGAACCACTTCCTTTAATATTCCGGTTTGAAGACGAGGAGCCTCTCCCCCTGGAGAAACAAGAATGGCAAAAGGAAATTGAAGATCTTTTTGCCGAAATGGACATGTGTACCTTAGAATCATGTATTGGCTTCACAAATTCATCTGTTTTGCCAATGCAGGGATCAAAAGTTAGTGACTGTCAGATGGGGAACCACCAACTTGTTCTTGATGAACAAATTGGACTCATTTGTAAAGTTTGTTCACATGTGCATTTGGAGATGAAGTATATCTTCCCTTCTTTCGTAAGTATACGAGTTTTGTTCCTGTCAAGCACTTACCTTTCCAATTAGGAACACAAAAGTATACGAGTTTTGTTCCTGTCAAGCACTTACCTTTCCAATTAGGAACACAATTTACAAGATCTATTGTTATTACTTTAACAGATTCCATCTTTTATCTTAATGATTGTATGTAGTAGTAGTTTTTGCTCTATTTGTGCATGCCAATTTACAAGATGCTTTTTAGTGGTTAGGATAATTGAGAACGGAAGTGTGCTTGACATAGTGCATGATAAGAATAGGGACAATGCAACTGGTTATATGCCTAAGAAAGTTGTAATAAGTTCTTGGATGTGGAACTTTTGACAGTTTGTTACATCCTAATTTTTCTCTTTCAATTAAAAGGACATGCTAAAGATTTATAGCAGTAAATGGAATTAGTCGTAAATTAGTGTGTGAGGTTTTTTTTTTTTTTGAAACTGGTAATGACTATATATATACTTTTTAAAATTTTTTTTACACCATAACAGTGCAAAAGACTTTACAAAATCCCAACCAAGCTTAGACTACTGCTTCATAAGGATCCTATCATATGAACTAGTGATTCAGCCTCTTCAGAATAGCTTTCTTTACACCAAAAATAAAACAAAAATATGCAATTCATCTTGATTTTCTCCACAAAATTATATTCGTCTTCAAAAGCTCTATAGTTCCTCTCCTTCCAAATGGTCCACCATATGCAAGCAGGGACAAGTTTCCACCAATTTTTCTGACTAACTGCCCCATCATTCTGGTTCCAACATTTCAGCAAATCAACACTTGTTGCTGGCATTGACCATCTGATTCCTACCATGTTCAAGAATAGTTGCCATAATTGTCCAGTAACAGGACAATGAATGAATAGATAACTATTATTTTCCCAGCAGCTCCACACAAAAAGCATCTAGAACACAGTTGGAATCCACTTCTTTGAAGTTTATCCTGTGTGACAAGCATTTCTTGCTATTATTAGCCAAGAAAAGCATACCACCTTAGAAGGAGCCTTCATCTTCCAAATGGATCTCCATGGCTACTAATTAGTTGACTGTCTGTGCCTAATCAGAATGTTATAAGCTGAGTTTACAGCATAAGTTCCTTTACTAGTGGGCTTCCATATAAGTGAATCTTCAGTGTCTTTGAACCCTTGGAATCATTCCAAGGTCTTGAAAAATTCAACAACTCTTTCCAACTCCCCATCATGCAGTAGCCTTCTAAAAGTAATATTCCATCCGTGTACTCCTTTTTGCTGATTCCAGACTAATGTCTGGCATAGTTTCTTATTCCATACAGTTGTATTTATACTTGATACCCCTGGTTACATATTCCTTTTCAACCCTTACATTTGATTTTATAAACTCTGCTCTCCAATTTATCTTTTGTTCACTCTTAAATTCTTTGACTTATGTTATCTGCAGGCTGACAGAACCCGAGGGAGGTATGGAAGAAAGTATTTTGGAGATTCATCATCGCTCTTGGATGCTGGCGGCTTTAGATATTATGATTCTTCTGCAGTTCATGATTCTGCTATTTATATGGAAGGAACTGTGTGGGATTTGGTCCCCATGAATGCCAAAACAACAATGTACCCTCATCAGCGTGAAGGATTTGAGTTTATGTGGAAGAATATTGCTGGAGACATAATCCTTGAAAATCTCAGGGAGCCTCTATCTGGTAGTAGGGGAGGATGCATAATCTCGCATCCACCTGGCACTGGAAAAACCCGTCTGACCATAGTCTTTCTTCAGGCATTTCTGAAGCAGTTCCCAAAGTGTAGGCCTGTGATCATAGCTCCATCCAATTTGCTTCTTATCTGGGAAGCCGAGTTCAAGAAATGGGAGGTGGACATTCCCTTCCACAACTTGAACAGCAAAGATTTCTCTTTCGAGGAAGATGAAGCTACTGTTAGTGTCTTCCACTGTTTATCACGTGCTGGAAAAAGAGATCCACAGCTTATACGCATGGTGAAGCTAAGATCCTGGGCTAAAAGTAAGAGTGTCTTGGGAATTAGCTATGACTTGTTCAGGATTCTGACGGGAGAAGATGGGGATGGTTACGCCAAAGAGATTAGAGAAATACTTCTCAAATTACCTGGTCTTCTGGTCCTTGAAGAAGGGCACACTGCTAGGAATGATCAAAGTCTTATGTGGCAAGCTTTGAACAAGGTTGAAACAGAGAAGCGTATACTTTTGTCTGGAACTCCCTTCCAGAATAATATCAAAGAGTTGTACAACACCCTCTCCGTAGTTAGTCCAAAATTTGCTGCAGATTTGGAGCATAAATGGACGTCTCTTAGCAGTTGCATTGACAAGAATGTCCGTGCCTTGGAAGAGCTTAGGGATATGATTGCACCACTAGTTCATAGATGTGGTGAAAATGTAAAGAAGGAAAGCCTTCCGGGTATAAGGGACACTGTGATACACTTGAAACCCACAGATTTGCAGAAGAGGCTGCTTAAGAGAATTCCTGAGAACCCAGGCTCCTTTTACAACCAAAATGCGGTGTCTCTGATCTCTGTTCACCCTTCATTAGTGGCAAATAGGAGTGAGTTCTCTGACTTAGAAAGCCAGTTAAAAGAAAGAGGATGTCGATTGGATCCAAATGCTGGAGTAAAAATGAAATTTGCTGTTGAACTGATCAGACTTTGTGATGGCTTGAATGAGAGGGTTATAATATTCAGCCAGTTACTTGATCCTCTAAAACTGATTAAGGAGCAACTCAATTCTCTCTTCAACTGGACTATAGGCCGAGAGATTCTCTATATGGATGGTAAACTTGATGTAAAGCAGCGGCAGATATCAATAAACTCTCTGAATGACCCTAAGAGTGATGTAAAAGTGCTTCTTGCATCAATAAAAGCATGTTCAGAAGGGATAAGTCTTGTAGGGGCTTCAAGAGTGGTTTTGCTTGACGTTCTCTGGAATCCCTCAGTAGAACAGCAAGCCATCAGTCGAGCTTACAGGAATGGTCAGACTAGAGTTGTGCATGTTTACTGTCCAGTGACATCAAAATGGGAAGTTGACAAGATCGAACAGCAGACGAGGAAAAAGTATCATTCTGATGTCCTTTTGTCTAGGAATGAAGTGAATATTTGCCAGATGAATCCTTCATATTCTCTGTCAGATGATAACATACTAGAAGCCATGGTTCAGCATGAGCGTCTCCGTCATATATTTGAAAAACTATCTCATGCACCACGTGTGGTGCCTACGACATGCTTCCCTGCACGATGAAGGTATGCTTTCTTCTCGTTTGCTGGTACATGAAGCAACCAGACTTGTTTACTGTATTTTTTTAACTGTTTGTTTTTGAAAAAATGGCTCAAACCTTTTTCTCTTTCTTGTCAGATCACTTGGAGCTTTTTTTTTGGTTGCGAATTGATGAAACCTGTTATGACATAATTTTTGAAGCCATCCTACTGTGAGGTGCGCTTTATGACAGGTATACTATCATACAATCAGTAAGATTTTTTTCTGAAGATGCTAAATGATGTATTCACAAGTACTACTGTAATTATTTCCTTGTTAATGATATTACGGATGAATGATCCCAGGACACCAGAAAACTTCATTAGTAACTAGTGCCTTGCCTTTGTCGATAAGCAAACTAGTTATAATTCGTATTACTATTATTAACTGGAGACACTCTTAACCAAATTATGACTATTATAGTTTCATTTGATACTACTACATTGCAATTGAGTTGTTTATACTGAATACAAACATTACAAAATGCTGCGTTTTAGACATGAAAGAAGTTCTTTTTTGTCTTTTACTTATTCCTTTCCTTCTGGTTTCAGGCTTTTTGATGCAGTTCTACAGTTTTTGTAAAAAGAAAAGAATGCAACAATGTGCAGATTCACACCTGGTTAAGCTGATTCTATAGTTGCAGATACGAGTTTTCATCAACCAGAAGATGTTCTTGTAACTGTATAAACTATGGTTTTGCCTGTCATTTTTTTTTGTTACGGAGCTGTGAAAAGTCTTTTGCTCCTTTATCTGTGAAGCATATCCTTAACACAGTTGTATTTGGCTCAAGCCTCTTGGTATATCTATATATATATGTTTCAAGTTGAAGATAGTAGTAATGAGTCAATTCTGTGATGGAAAATTGGAATTATAGTATAAATAATCTTCACATTATCAAGTAATCATAATGTGTTGTAGCAGGTATCATATCTTATTTTCAGGATAATAAGAAACACCTACAACGAGTAATCGTATAAAAGTTTTTCATTATGGAAGTGAAAGCCCCCTTACATAGAATTGATTTTTTTTTTTGTATCAACATGAAGAATGTGAAGTAGTTACACTTAGAAACAGTTATGTCCATAAACCAAAAAAAGATTGGTAAAAATTATATACAAATCAATCTTGTTAGAAAACAGAAAAAACACGCGCTATATGTTTTTTTCCTCAGCTATATGATGAATTGAAGTGGAATCAAGGTTTTCTGCCCACCACATTCAAGATCACACATAGTATATGCATTTACAATTTACACATTGTTGTGGTTTCCTTCAAACCAAGTGCAAGTACTTGTCAAAGTCAGATAAGTACTGTGCTAATGAAGTAGTATCATGTTCAATATTACTCTGATCTATTCTTGAAATGGGATTTTCATTAGGAACAGGTCTAATGATTGATCGAGGAGATCTTGGCGGAGATGCAAAAAGCATAGAGGTTTCCAGGATTTGACGACTAATGCTTTCTTGATGAAGTAAGAGTCGTTGTGCACGGAGAGCTGTGATGTATAAACCAGCAGCCAAGAAAACTGTCAATAGGCCAAAAACTCCAGCAGCAGAGAATAACCCCTGTCCAAGTACTAAACAACTTTCTCTTGGTATTTCCCAGTGTCTTAGGTGTCCAGACTCAACACTTAGCCCTATTAGTAATAATATCTCCCCAACAGCAAATGAAACCCTGTTTAAGAATGAAACCACAGCATGCATGCATTTATTAGCTACTCTTATAAAGCTTAAGCTATATTCATGTACAACATAATAATACTATAGTCGACTATAGAGGCGGATCGTCCAAAATTTTGGATTTATGGGTTCTACATTCTAAACAAGACAGTTTATACATATTGAATACAAAGTATTTATAAATATTTATTGAGTTATGAATACAAAACCAATTTTTAACCAAATCATGCGCACCCCTATTTGGGCCAAGGCCCAAGAGAGGATGTATGGGGCTACCCTTCAACTTTTTTGTACCCGCGAAAGAAAAGAGTTAATCCCCTTTTAAATTTTACACTTTAAATGATATAAATAACATTTATTTATGTAATACTTTTGAAATCTATTTGGAAATTAGCAAAACTCCTTACTATACGTCTAAATAAATTAGACATGTCATACATTTTCTTGGAAGATTATTTATCAACGATGACAATTACTAAAAAAGAAAATGTACCATATACGTACCACGTAGAAACAAAGAAGAAGCCAGCTTGCCAAACAAGAGTTTTGACAGATGGGGAATGAGGATCCCAATAAAGTACATGAGGAGGAGTTGTTTTGCTCACAACAATCAACAAGTAAGTGTGCTCAATCACCATAGCAATAGCCAAAACAAAAAATGCAGCACTAGCACACAACAAAGGTGTCTTCCCACTACCACTATATGTGCATTCATCTTTACCTCTCATTGTCACCTACAAACCTCAATCACATAAGTCCACGTGTATTCACACTTCTAAACTGTTAGTGAATATAAGTTAAATTTGAACAAAAAAATTTGTACATAAAACAAAATTTTAACAACTATTAGTTCATCTGAAAGATAACTATATGTAACATGTCTAAAAAGTGTGTGATTTTATTAATTTGGAACATTAAGGTAATAGTTTCCCTCTACAACACGTTAAAACATACTAATAATGTAAAAATTCTTTATTAAAACCGTACCTGAGAACGCGTAGCCTCAGCAATGAGGGAGAGAATGAAGCAAAATAGGCCAAGAAGTATTGACAAAACCATAAGAAATGCACCCATTTTGCTACCTAAATTGGTGCTAGGGCGACTTGGTTCAAGATCAGCATGAGTCACAGCCATTGTGCAACAATAGGAAAACAAATTTGAATTGAAGAAAAAATAAATATACAACTTTAATTTCACAATTACCCATAAAGAGAATAAGAGTTTTAGAATTACTTGGAACAAAGGTTGCTTAAAGGCCAAATATTCTTTTGTTCTTGTTCTTTCTATTTAAGTTTTCACACATAAGGTTGTTATTATTCAAAGCTTTTTAAGCTTAATCTAAATACAAAAAAAGTGATACCAATTCTATTCAGCTTAGTTAAAGCTATACCCTAAAAGATTAACCTTTTATTCTTGATCTAAGAAAGGGAAAAAACATATTAGCTAGTGTAAAAAAGCTTTCTTTCAAAACGATTCATTATATTATACAATAAAGGACTTTATTAAGTACTAGTGCAAAATTTTGAATTACTTTTTATCATTTGTCGACCAAGATACATGTATAAAAAAAAAATAGCACGAGGAGGCATCTTATTTTTATTTCTTTACCAACTTTTGCACTCAAGGAATAATTTATCAAGTTCTTTGTCATAATGAATATTAAAATGTTGAATTAAAAAACATTTGAAACTCTTAACCTCTTCTCCACGTTTCTTTTGGTGGACAATATTTGTCTATTGAGAGGATGGTTTGAATTTATATACGTACTACTTATTGAATAAAATGTTAGCATCTTCAAACATCGTGTGAACTTGTAAATAAAGAATATGAAGCCTTAAAAGGCCATCGCCTGATTATAATTTATAGGGCGTATGGAAAATCTTTCGATAAGAGATAGACAGATGGTAGGAAATCCAATTATACGATAGCCGTTCACAGGTCACGTAGCCATTCTTAATTTTCTTTGATTGAATGTTGGCTCTTTAGAAAACATAAAATATTAAATATCCTCATTTATTTTACATCACGTAGCCATTCTTAATTTTCTTTGATTGAAAGTTGGCTCTTTAGAAAACATAAAATATTAAATATCCTTATTTATTTTACATCACGTAACCATTTTTAATTTTCTTTGATTGAACGTTGGCTCTTTAGAAAATGGCGTATGGAAAATCTTTCGATAAGAGATAGACAGATGGTAGGAAATCCAATTATACGATAGCCGTTCATACATCACGTAGCCATTCTTAATTTTCTTTGATTGAACGTTGGCTCTTTAGAAAACATAAAATATTAAATATCCTTATTTATTTTACATCACGTAGCCATTTTTAATTTTCTTTGATTGAACGTTGACTCTTTAGAAAATATAAAATATTAAATATCCTCATTTATTTTACACCGTCCTTAGTGCACTAGCACTTGGAATTGCAGATTCCCTATTAAGATATTCAACATATGACCGATGAAGAACTCCCAAAGGTCGAGATAAATTCAATATTTAGAATTAGTAAATACCTATTGGTTAATTTATCTGTGCGCTCACGTGTATAAATATATATAGAGAGAAATTATATATATATACACGTGAGTGCACATATTGGACTCATCAAATCGATCTATCTTTTCTTTCTCTTTTTAATTTTTGGATAAGAGATTTGACCTTTTAATTAACAATATGAAATTGTGGTTCATGTTATAATGGATGGAGGTGCATATATAGATATGTATATTTGAAAAGTCATGAGTAACTATATAATTCGTGCACGTACAGTTTGCTTAATAAGGTGAAACAGTTTTTCAGATTATTCAACTCCTAAAAAGGGCCTATAGCTTGACACATTATTCTTTCTTTGGCACTTTGCAGAGATGTGGATCTATATATTGCATCATTTTTCATTTTGAGGTATGTTCGATCCACTTCAATAATATTCACCAATAGTTAGATCTACTTCAAGTATATAAGACATTAATCTTATATCCTTGTTACATTTGAAACTTATTTTATTAATGTGATTATGCGTGCACATTTTCCTCATGAATCACAAGATTAGTACTATGAAAACAATAATTTAAAAGAAAATATTTATATCCAATGGAAAATGGTTCCCGATAGTTTTTATACAAATCATATTAAGATTTCAGATGAGATATATGGACCTCATGAGTCCCCATGGATCCCACCTCATAGAGTATTCTGTGGAGGACAGGTGGTGAATAAGAGCTCGTCCAGTTATTCTGTACTTTCTAGGTCAATCAATCAGCAGTCCTTCAAAAATTATTTCTCGAATGTTATAATAAACACTC